ACCAGAACCTCTAAAATTACTAAAATATATTCCTCATTGTATTAAGATTTTCATTTGTTAAAGAAATGTTGAAAAGCATTTCCTTTTTTAATATTAAAACTTTACAGTTTCATCTTTACATGCTGATTAGGTCTATCAAATGAAATCCCAATAAAATACTTTTATTTATTTATGCATTTGAGTTTGTAACATGTAAAAATGTACAAAAAATTAATGGGTATGGAACGGTATGGAAATGTGCTCATTATTGGTATTTGTCCTCAAATGTAAATACATCAATTCATAGCTCTACTGTTTCAAATGATTAATATGCAGCTGTTTTATCTATGAAAATGGTCAATACAAGAGAGCTAATTTTTTTAATCAATTCTATTGTCTGAAATAGTTTCTAATTTATTTCAATCACCCTTTGTCCATTCAACTTCAAAGGCCATTCTGAAACCCCTACAGTCAAGAAAACTCTGAAAGTTCTTGACAAAAACCCTTTATGTTATCATTATTGTAATTTAATTATGTACAACATTTTTTAATTTGAACATCATTAGTTTTTGGATGCGTGTCTTGTTTTTAAAGTTTTAAATTGACTTACCCCTCCTCCTCTAACAGATTTTATAAGCAAAAAAACATTACTAGAATAAACATCTGGGTTATAACCAGAGGAGACTGTAATGTTCAGCAGTTTGGGATAAAATTTGGCCAAATAGTTGCATCCATCAGAGGAGCAGAGTCATAGAACACACTACCAGCTCATGTTAGGGGCTGTGAAACCTACATAAGTTTTAAAATCTCCTTAAAACATGGCTGAAAACTAACCAGACATGTGTTCACAGGTAAATTGATCTGTTTCCATGGGCCATTGCATGTTATTGGCATCTGATCTGTTTTCACTCTGCTTTCTCCCGTAGTGTCTTGTTTAATGATCACTGTTCTTACCCGCCTTAGGACAGTGGATGCAAATTAGCTGTTGTGCTAATTCTGCCGTATTTACATTGATGCTTTAAGCTGACATGTTGATGAATGTGCATTGTCCTAATTCAAATAAATACCTAAACAAATAAATGAGATAACATTTCCTTTTAATTTTCCACGAATATGCATCTTTATACTGCTAACTTAATCCAGTGTAATGTAATACAGATAATAACAAATTAAATTACTGTAAAAACGTTATGTTAAAAAGCCAGGATTTATTGACTTAAATGAAAATCTTAAAACTAACACCATTCTCTGTCCCTGGATTTCCCATAAGAAGCGGTTTTGTGTTAAACACAAATTATAAATCAAACTCTAGGTCATTCTAAGTAAATTAATACTTCAAACACATGTAACAATGTCTTCCCATTTTCCCACCTTGACTGCTGTAACGCTAGAGTCCTGAAATATTTGTGCTCTGCTAATTAAAAACAAACTCTTGAGCACTCAACCTTCTGCATACCATCATTATGAGTCATTCTTGCATTACTTTTGCTGTTGAGAACTTTAGAAACTGCCAGTCTTTGCTTAGATGATGAGGTGACCCCTTGCGGCTTATGTATTCGTTATTTGAATGCATGTACTGATGAGTGATTTCTGTACTGTCTGCTCCTACTCAGAAACATTTGTATTTTTGAAATATATCATCACAGTCAGTCTTCAAAAGCGTCATTAAAGTGTCTTTATGAACAAAGAAAATATGTCTCTACCCCTGAAAGATTGAGTGGGAGAATATGATGCCTTTAGGGATGCAGAGCTTTAAATCAGAAAGATTAATGTTTAGTTATTTGTTGATCTCATATTGTCACTAACAAGTTTTACTTGCTTACTTTTCTTACTTATACCAAATTACATTTACAAATTTAAAAATATATGATACTGGATATTATTATAGTGTATTTTAAGCCAGCATGTCCATTTCCTTTCAAAATGGAAATTTATTTTTTATCAGTTGAAAAAAGTTTTGCAAGTGCATCTTTCTGAAGGTCATCTGTTAGAAAAAGAAGAATTTTGTCATCAGATAACTGAAGTTAAATGTCATAAAATGTTGTGGGTACACTTTTGTGTTGAAAGAAATTTGAAAGCTAGTGACATTGTGACTCTAAAATTGATTCAGTACACAAGGACAGAAAATCTCATAAATATATAAAAAGATGAAAAAAAACACTGAGGAAGCTGTAGTACATATGCCAGGGACTTTGGTGGAGCTGTGATACTGCCACAGAATCACATCAAAAGGGCTGTAAAAAGCACGGACACATGCATGGTTAACACAACAATGTGGTGAGCAAGACACGCATGTGGGTTACAGATGGGAATAGAGGTAAAACGTGATTATAAAAAACCCCACAAAGCTTGCGTGTATGAACAAAATCATATCAACATTTTAAAAATTTCCCACTTTGGGTTTGACAAAAAAAAGAAAGATGATGTTCTCACAAAACGCCTCTTAGGTGTTCAGCCTAAAAAATAACACCTTTCCAGTTACACCCTTCACTATTTACATATCTTCTTCTCTTTCTCCTTTGTCTTCGACCGACAAGCATAAAAGCTTGACAAACACCAATTTCTTTCTAAATTTCCAGTTATCTTGACTTCTACTGTTAAGACTGATTTCATAATTAGTCAAAACATAGCATGGATTACAGCACAATTTGAAGCACCTGGTAGTTAAAAATTTTAATGTTGAACTCAAGTTAATCATTAATCATCAGATATAGACTTGATCTCCATCTCAGCCATGCCGCAGTACCATGGAAACAGAATTGTTGCATTAAATAAAAGGGCTTTGCTTTTTGACAGACAGCAAAACACATGGTTGATGGATTCTGAGAGAGCTAAACTTTTTGTCTTTTTTCTCTCGGTTTTTTGTTAATCATGTATTTCCCCTAACCAATTAAATTCTTACTTCTTACAGAGCATCAGTTAATTATGTATACAAACAATTTTCCACAGCATTTGGTCAGATCATTTGCATCAATCATCAATCTTGATCTTTGTTGCCTCCAAACGTTTGCTTTGATTTTAGTTAAATCAAAAAAATGTTGAAATCAGATAAGGACCTTGTAATCGTAGATATGTTGTTTTCAATTAATTATTTAATTTATTAAGATAAAAGCAAGCTGTCCATATTTGAGTATTTGCCTCCTAAAACATACATTCTCATCATTCTTAGGTTCAGACATCATTCCAAAATGTACAGTTTGCTTTTTCAGACATTTGGAGGCCAACTTGATTGTGTACTTTTGATTATTATCAGGCATCAAAAACTCAACTGTGCTTGGATATAAGGTCACAAAACGATGGCTGAATATTCTCTTAAAGATTTCCTGGTATAAGCAGAACTCACTGTTGTATAAATTAAAGCATTACATCTAGGTCTTAAGGCAGCAAAGCAGTACAAAAATCCATGTTTTTTCATTAATGAACCCTATCCTTTAACAATGGAAAGTGAAACCTGGTGTGATTTAGATACTTTTCCGGTTCTTTGCAGCATCCTGAATGAGATGCTGTTGCACTGTTGGAGTAATTTTGGTCTGCAAAGGGTCACCACTCTTTCATTTTTTCTGTATATAATGGCTCTCCTTGTTGCTCACAGTAGTTATTTTTAGCTCTAGCAAGCCTGTTTGGACATGATTAAGTTGGGTTTTGGCAAAAGGCTTGTTGGGTCAATTCTGCTTTAAATTTGCTAGAATAAGCAGATACTCCTGCTAATAGGCTCCTTCGCCCCAAAGCCACAGGATTTCCATCATGTTCTTCCTTAAGCTATTTCCACCAGCCTCTATGTAGAAATTAAATTATTACATTACATCTGGTGTCATAGAGAGGGAACTGCTTTCTTTATGCATCCCAGATTACCTTCCCAGCACCCTTGGTGAACCTAACTATGAACTAAATGATTCTTGTTATGTCACTATAGAGTTTTTTTTAAGGGGAGCTTAAGATGTTCACGCAGAGCACAAGATTGAGAGTGCTCTCAAAAAAACTGCTGACAGATAAAAAAAAATATTCAGATTCAACAAAGATACAGTGACTAAAACCAATGCATGTTGTCTTGATATTCAAATGATAAAAAAATGACTGTTTCTTAAGATGCAAGGTGACCAAAATAAGATTAGGTTTTCAAAGGTTTATCCCAGAGTAGTGTTTTAACTGAGAACAACATAAGTCACGTAAATAAATTAACTTGTTGACTTCTTGTTAACTTGTGTCATAAAAAGAGTTTAGCATAATGAGTCAGGACTCTGCAATGGCCCATTATTTTTGCAACACTAACCACCTTTTGTTTTAGGAAAAGTATTTAGAATTACAACAGTAACATCCTATCTTTTTTAGCTTTAGGACCCTGAAGAGTTACACTGTGCGCAGAATTATTAGGCAAGTTGTATTTTTGGGGATTATTTTTATTATTGGGCCACAGTTGTGTTCTCAATACAACCTCCTATACAAGGCTTCACATTTGATACCAGCAATATCAAGTTGAAGTCAAGCATCACCATGTTTCAAATGACCAGGGTACCATTAGCAAAACAAGGATAGCTTTTTTTCTTTTTTCTTTTTGATGAAAGTTTATTTATTTATTTAATATTTTTTTGCTATACAGACCTTCATAAAAAGGCTGTATGTAGCACTGGGGTAGAAACGTCCTTTATGTGGTTCCAAAGCAAAGGAACACAGAGATCTCTGGAATTTGTGCATTTACAACCAAAGCAGGCAAAAGGTTCATCTCTCTCCCAGAATCAAAGCATTGGAAATATTTAATTTAATTATATTAAAAACCTTTATTCAACCAAAGCAGCAAGGCTGGTAGAGAAATCTTCTGGTACGGCATGATAGGTAAGGAAATTTTTGTTTAACACCGGAAGTCAGTAAAAATCTTTGGTCACTGGGTCGGATTTCTCAAAAAAGGTGAAAACAACCCAAACTCCGAGATAAATGAAAGGTGTGAAGTTTGTGTTTACTCAGTGTTAGTAAATATATGTTTGTGCTAATCAGATGTCTATAAATCAAGCTGGCACTTTGCATACCTCTCTCTGTTGAATTTGAGTGAATGCAAGACAGCGGGTCGTCTCTGGCGGAGGTTCCACAAGTGTAGTGTGTCGTCTGCACAGGCTGTTACCAGTGCCCCCTAAGGAACAAAAGAAAGACATTTTAATAGAAGTTTTGTGCACAAGTAGAGCAAGTTTATTGACTTTTGGCTTAAAGGGATAATTTACTTTGCTTTAAATCGGTCATAGAATTATTAAATAGGGTATTTGGTGTCGGTCCTTAGGGTATCTGAATATGGTGTGTAACATTGGTTGGTCTGAAAATGGCATATTTGCTGTTCTATGAGCCCTAATGCAAGCCTGGTTATATGCCCTAGAATGAAACGACAGGTTTCCTTCCTTTTATGGTATGCTCATGAAAATTTAGATGAGCTGTGTGCTGCTTGGTTGGTTTACAACGAGCAAAGCTGCTGAGCAAATCATCATGGCAACAAGCACTCACTCAATGAAACATCAAAATTGTTGATATGGTAGGGTGACCAGGCATACTCTTTTTGCCGAACATGTCCTACTTTTCATACCTAAAAAAATGTCCGGGCGAATTTCAAATTCGTGATTTTGGTCGACTACAGTGCAACGGTCCAGTCAGCGGCCCAGCAGTCGATACTTCATACGCCCCCCTCCTTTGGGCCAGTTAACCAGTGGGCTGGTCTGTATGTCAATTTTGGGGCGTGACAAAAGTACAGGCCAGAACCAAATAAGGCAAAATCCCCGAATTGACATCAATTTGGTGCTTTGTTTGAATTCGCCCGTTTTACGGTGGAAGTTTAGAATTTTGAGATTTGCAGAGAAAGGAGGTGTCAATGGTTTTTGAACTTGTCTGTATGTCCATTTCACCCACTGAACTATCGTTAGTCATCTATGACAATGCAAACTCTGTTTTGCATTATATGACCCCTTTAAGTGACGTTCTGTTAGTTGTTTTTGTAGAAAAGTGAAAAAAATCCTCAGAGGTCAAAGGTACACATTTAATTTAAGCCAGTAATATTATTTTAGAATACAAATTAAGAGTGTTATGCTAGATTTCGGATTAGGAAAGTGAAAGCCATTTCTAAAATAGATAGTTTATATACAGTTTAAAACTTTGAGGGACACTTTCTAAAAGTATTTCTGAAACTCAAGTTGTTGATCATGTATACTCCACAATGTAAATACCAATGAATAAGATATGCAGTTAAAAAAGAAATGAAATTAGGTCACTGACTTTTGCGCTTTGAAACATTATCATAACATTAAACATTATAACATTAAGGACCTAAGCCTCCTTAGGAAGTGTATTCTGCTCTATCCCTTCTTGTTGATGGCTTCATGGTTGTGTCTCCAGTCTAGTTTGTTGTCCAATTGAACACCAATGTATTTATACTCCTCAAACACCTCCACTTCTACTCCCATTATGTTAACGGGTTTCAACTTGATCTTGTTTCTTCTTAAATCTACAATTATCTCCCTTGTTTTGTTGACATTCAGGATCAGATGCCACAAAGCGGTTCACCAGCTTTGTGTGCTCAGCTTCATGTCCATATTTGATGCACCAATTTTTGCAGAGTCATCTGAGTGTTTCTGCAGATGACTGGACTCTTTCTGGTACTTAAAGTCAGACATGTCCAGGGTAAAAAGGAATGGAGAGAGTACCGTCCCCTTTGGCGCTGCTGTGCTGCTGACTACTTGATTAGACAGCTGACCCTTCAGTCCAACAAACTGTGGTCCGTTTGTCAGGTAGTCTTTCCAGGTGATAGTTGATGTCTACAACTGTCGTTTCTCACAAGTCAGTCAGGCTGAATAGTATTAAATGCACACAAAAGAACATGATCCTCACAGTAGTCTGCCTTATCTAAATGACAGTGGGTTTGTTGAAGCAGGTGTATGATGGAATCATCTACACCAACTCCCCAGCGATAAGAAAACAGGGGGTCCTCATAGCTGTCTCTCTAGGACCTTCATGATGTGGGATGTGGGGGCAACAGGTCTATACTGTAGCCACTGATGACTGTTGGCTGAGTCTTCTTTAGCACCTGAACAAGGAAGGAGGTCTTCCACATCACTGGAACTGTCTCCAAGATCAGACTAAAGGTGAAGAGATGCTAGAATCCCACAGGCTCTCAGGACTATGGGGCTGACACCATCAGGACCTGGTGACTTATTTTGATTCAGTCTCTCCAATTGCCTCTTTACTTGACTTCTAGAGATAGACAGGTGAAAGGTGGAGGGAGCAGCATCACCTTCTGATTTGGCTGATAACAAACTAATAGAAGCAGGAGAGAATCAATGGCAGAGGAGGGCTGGATGTCCATGTGACTGAGGGCAGGACAGAAAGATGCTGAGATTTTTTCCAGAACTGAACCTGAAGAATGTAGTGAGTTCATCGGCTCTGTCCAGACTTCCATCTGTCTGATCATCCTTCTGCTTAAAGCCTCTGATCTTCATCATCCCTGTCATTGTTCTGCAAGAGTTTGTTTTCCAGCCATTTCCTGTATGCCTCCGTGCTTTCTCTTATCTTGAACTTAAGTTTCTTCTGTATACTCTTCATTAATTTCCTGTCTCCGTTCTAAATGGCCTGCTTTTTCTCATGTTATCTAAACTGTAGTAAATTTAAGCGTGAATTTAATTAAGCAAATAAACAAATGACCCTGATCTCAAAATGCAATGAAGATGTCAGACTAAAAAAACTAACAAAAAAAACCTAAACAAAAAAATGCAACAAAACATGTATTTTAATGAAAATAATTAATGCAGAAAATGTATAGCACAAGAAATCTGCTAACATTGCTACAATTTGCAAAGCACAAAATGTAGAACAACACATTTCCATCAGTTTGTATTGTCAATAGGAGTAAGCCAGATTTCCATGTTTGTTTGTAGCAAATCCTACTGGCTTTCAAACTTGGACCTGGAACAGAGTTTAAGATGGTTTGGAAGTCTTTCAAGTTTAAGCCTCATACGTCATTTGGGCTTGGCATTGCTAAACAGCAGCAACTGTTTTTGCTTTACTGTTTTCCCCTTAATTTTTTTTTTTTTAATGCAGCAAAACAGTTCTAGAAAAGCTTATCTGTTTGAGTGCTACCAGTTTTCCTTCACAATTAATCAATTTCCTCTTATATTAAGGATACATTTCTGTCCAAATGTTTTATGAGTAACCACTCCAAGCATCTAAATGTACCACTAATGACCATTGTGGCACATTTTTGGACCACAAGCTTTAATGCTTTTAAAAATCAAATAACAGGTAATAAGAAAAGCTTCGCGCAGCACAGGTACTGTACTTGTTTCCTTAACAGATAAAGCACAGCTTGTGTCATCTAAGAATTAAGTGGATCAAAAAGTAAGTGCAGCACAGACACATTTTCTCTTTATTCCACAGAACCTAGACACCCAGTGCATCTCTGAGTCCACAGGAATAACTCAAATAACTCTACAGTCAGTGACTTTCCACAAAGAACAAAAATATTTAGCAAATATCTTTGATCTTTAAAGAGAAGATTAATACCAAGATAATTGTTTGTCTGATCTACAATTTAGAAGCATGAAGGCAAAGGACATTTAAAAGTTTCCATAACTGCTTCTCTTATCAGTCTCTGGTAGAGAGGTTTTCTACCCACAGTCTGTTTTGTCTGCATCATTGATCAAAGAAACTAAACAATAGAATGAAAAACACTTGCTTTGTCATACTTACTGGCTCAGAGCCCATAGTTCTAGTTATGGAAAGGGGTGTGGTGTCTATACTGCTAGACATGATGGAAAAAACAATACATCCTTCAGCTCTGCTATAAGGCAGATATTACATGTGATATAAGACTATTTGCATAATCAATCATTAAAAAAAGAAAATATCCTGAGACTTTACTTTATTTGATTTATTCCCTTTAATTTTTCTTTTACCTTTTTTGTTTATTAAACGTGTGTTTCTTATTATCATTTGGTAGTAATCTTTCATATTTAATTTTTTTTATTCTACATTGGTTGTTGTATACTACCTCCCTCCCTCCCTCCCTCCCTCCCTCCCTCCCTCCCTCCCTCCCTCCCTCCCTCCCTCCCTCCCTCCCTCCCTCCCTCCCTCCCTCCCTCCCTCCCTCCCTCCCTTCCTCCCTTCCCTCCTTCCTTCCTCCTTCCTCCTCCTTCCTTCCTTCCTTCCTTCCTTCCTTCCTTCCTTCCTTCCTTCCTTCCTTCCTTCCTTCCTTCCTTCCTTCCTTCCTTCATGAATAAATTAATGAATGAACATGGCCAAAAATGTTAATAATGCAAAGTAAAACCAGCAAACATTAATACCAGCTTCATAAACAGAAAAGTAAATTCATGGTAAAGTCACATGATATTAGTGATATCATGGCGTCAGCCCAACATCTTAAGAAAATTGCTATTACAGTTGAATCCCACTGCGGCTGTGCTACCAGAACATCATCTGAAAAGACTGGAGCCCAGGGAGAATTAGCCTTAGATTACAAATTTAATCATGGGATTAAAGACTGTAATGTAGCATGGACTGCTCCCAACTGATTTCCATATTGGTGACATTTCCCGCCAACTCTAAAAATCTGTCTTAGAGTTTATAATTTAGAAATTAGCAACAGGGTTTAGAAAATAATTGGGATTGATTGTATGCCCTGATTATAGTACATCAGTAAAAACCTTATTACCCCTCTCGGTTTACATTGTTTATCCTGCTTTTTATAGTTTCCCTGATTTTTTTCTCTAAGGTTTTTATGAAACAGAACTACAATGGTATTAAAAAGCTCTGTGTGAATGAAATAAAAAAACGGAAAGAAGTATACATCTTTACCAGCTGTCTTCATACAGAAAGGGTTGGATGCATCTAATCAATGAGCTTAGTTTGGTCTGAAGATAGTTTGGCAAATCAAAAGAGTGCAATTGTACATTTTCAACAGCTTTCCATTTAGTGTGACTTCTTTTCTTCCTTGCTTACCATGTAATTGCACCCTTGGGGATGGATTAAAGCTGTTTTGCATTGAATGAATTAGTAATTTCCAATTAAGAATAAATGGATTTGACAAATGGATATGCAAACTTTCAGAGGGAAAATATTTGCAAAATAATTATTCACACAGTTGGGGCTCAGCAAAGATTTTACCTCTCATTGGTGTGCATGATAATTCTTAGAATTACATATCCAATACAGAACATATTTGGAAAATCTAGTTAGATAACAAAGTCAAAATAATGTACCAGGAGGCGTTTTTACATAAATATTTAAATCATTTTTATATATTAATGTACAGTTTTTATATGTTTATCCAACATGCTGTTTCCCTGCACAAGTCTTAGTACACTACATTTAATCAGCATATACTTACAAAAGCAACAGTCTTGCACATACTGAAAGTATGCAAAGGGGACAAAAGACATGTTGACTGGAAATTAATAAGACATAATCCCATTTGTCTTACTCACACCCTAGTGGACTTTGAATAAGACAAATAAGACTCTGTCTCACAGCATACATAAAAACTGAAGTTGGGTTTCAAGAAAAACAAATCAAATGTAAAACAATGAAAAGAAAAAGCTTTTAAATGTGTTTCATAGATTCAGGCTTACCTCATTAATGAGAAACTGAAGTTGAAGAACAGCGGCTCCGCTCTCATGTTGACAGTAGCAGTCCACCCCGGGTCGGCCCAGTCTGATGGCATTACAGAGTCAAGGAAGACTATATGATGTGATATTAGTTTATTACCTGGAACTCCAGCCTGGTTTGAAATTTCATTAAAGAAAATGATAACTTAGCTTGACTAAGTAAAAGCAAGACATTCTTAAATATAGATTCTGACAAAATAATCCTGGGGTTAGGATGACAACGCACAGTTTGTAACTTTGCTCAAAGAATGGTGTTGTCTTCTATCCTGACTCAGCAATTAGAAAAGAAAAATGTTGTGCACTTGGATGACAATTTATCTTTGGGAGAAAGAATCACCACATTGTAATCCATATTTGATATATTTTCTTTGTAAGATGATTTCAGTCACAACCTAGCGAAAAGTTTAAAAAGTTCCTCTGTTTATATCTTAGTGAATAAGTTCTTCAGACTTTACTGTCCAGTGATGCTGCAAAACTCCATGGCAAACAATAGCCTGATAAAACCATATTTTCTTCTGAGCAGATAATCTAGGCCAGATAGAAACCTGAGCCTCATCTATTAGCTTGGGGGTTTGGGGATGTCTCAGAAACATTAATTCAGTATGGGAAAATACATCAAACTGTGATGCATGTTAGGAGGGAAATAGCATTGCATAATGGATGTTAACTTTTACCTGCACCTGCTATTTGTCTGCTTCTGCTGTCTATTGAGAACAAAATAATATGATTTTAACCACTGTTCTTTAGTTTCACTTCGGTATATTCTAATTATATCTGTACACACAGACATATACTATACATATACACACACACATATATATATATATATATATATATATATATATATATATATATATATATATATATGTGTGTGTATATATATGTATATATATGTGTATATATATATATATATATATATATATATATATATATATATGTGTATATATATATATATATATATATATATATATGTGTATATATATATATATATATATATGTATATATATGTATATATGTATATATATATGTATATATGTATATATATATATATATATGTGTATATATATATATATATATATATATATATATATATATATATATATATACATATATATATATATCTATATACATACATATATAGATATATATCTATATACATACATATATATATATATATCTATATACATACATATATATATATATATCTATATACATACATATATATATATATATCTATATACATACATATATATATATATATCTATATACATACATATATATGTATATATCTATATACATACATATATATATATATATCTATATACATACATATAGATATATATATATATATATATACACATACATACATATATCTATATATATATATATAGATATATGTATGTATGTGAGACAGAGAGAGGTATTTTAATTTTTGCAAAGAATTTTGCAAAAAGCCACTTATCTTGATCAGGGAGTGGTGATGTGAGGCAGTACAGTACAATATAAACAGTATAGTTTGATGAGAAAAAGTAACACTGTGTCCCTCTTTCTGTTGCACACTGTAATATTAAATGTACACTTTGTTCCAGTCATTCTGGCAATTTTGGACCTTACATGGAAAAAGCCTTTAATTTAAGAAAATGAGGGTTAAACAGTGTGCTTTTGAAGCTATGATTTGGCCCTGTTTAGGATTACAGCTGCACAGATAATGGTGCCATCAATAATAGGCTCACTCTGAGACCTTTGAGTAAAATGGAACTAGAATTATACTGAATTCGCTATATTAAAAAGATCTTGATGTGGTTTAGTTTTCAAAATGCTCCTTCAGCTTCAGCTCACTGTGTTTTTTATTGTAACTTTGGTTGGAAGAACTTACAAAATGAAGTACTTAATTGCAAAATGTTATTTATGAAAACAAATTCTGAAAGTAGGGTGTGCATTTTTTGAATCCTCCTTTCTCTTACTTACAATTCATTGTAATTTGTCTGTTACAGTTGATAGGATTTCATAGAAATCATTCTATGAGTTACAAAAAAGTATTCTTTCATTATCATTATTTATTTCATGCCGTTATTAGTTGCTTTATTCTATTAAAGACTAATTCTACATGAATTAACTGTATAAAAATAGCTCTTGAAGACGAAACAAATCTGCAACAAATCTTTAGGAAAAGCACTGGAGAGCACAGGGAGTTCACTATTTCTAATCAAACATATTTTAAAATACCGGTATGTGAGAATTAGCAGGATGAGGGAAATTAAGAATGAAGTTTTCTTTACTATCAAATTTGCTGGCTATCCATGGTATATGGCTATAAACTAAATATATTGTATATAGTATATAGTATGTTTTATATTGTATTGAGCTATGGTTCTGTATTCTTTGTATATATATCTAATTTGTCTGCACCATAACACCAAGTCAAATTCCTTGTAAGTGCAAACCTACTTGGCAATAAATCTGATTCTGAGTCGGTATATGCATTGGAAGGATTTATGCAACCAACTATGTTTATTTTTGCAATTGTATTCTTCTTGCATCTCTTTAGATATATATTAAATTATATTATATATATATTAATTCACTGGCACAAAACATTGAATACAGGATCAGTTTTACCTTGATAGATTAAGCTATTGCTGTATCTTACTGACTGATGTGACACTACTTAAAGAAGAAGCATATGAAGTTTATCAAGGATATACGATTTATTACTGACAAATTTTTTTTTTCTTTTTGTTTGTTTAATTTTTACGGTGGTGTTTAAATTTTACCCTGAATAATAATAAAATAAATTAGTCACTTTCTCTGGTTCTTTACAAACCTAAATTGTTAACAAATTTTATCAGCAGAAGCGATTTTGTTTTGTTTGTTTCTTTATTTCATGAGCATATGAAATGTTGTGTTCTATAACAAAACACACTGAATGATGTGCCTGGTCGACTCACCCTCCCCTTTTTCCCCAAAGAGATTTCTGTCACCCTTGTTTAACATCACTGGATTCCGATTACACCTTTTGCAAACAGCTCAAGGCAAGGTGATTGTCTGAGCTGTAATCAAATCTATGCTCACTTGACTGACAGTGGGAAAGAATATTGTTTCTAATATAAAATTGCACTACCCTAAGATTTAGAATGAAAAGAAACTCTTTTTGTTGAAGATAGATATATACAGGTGCTGGTCATAAAATTAGAATATCATGAAAAAGTAGATTGATTTCAGTAATTCCATTTAAAAAGTGAAACTTGTATATTATATTCATACATTACATACAAACTCATATATTTCAGATGTTTATTTTGTTTAATTTTGATGATTACAAATGACAACAAATGAAAATCTCAAATTCATCATATCAGAAAATTAGAATATTACTGAAGACCAATAAAAACAAAGGATTTATAGAAATGTTGGCCAACTGAAAAGTATGAACATGAAAAGTATGAGCATGTACTGCACTCAGTATTTAGTTGGGCCTCCTTTGGCCTGTATTACTGCAGCAATGCGGCGTGGCATGGAGTCGATCAGTCTGTGGCACTGCTCAGGTGTTATGATAGCCCAGGTTGCTCTAATAGTGGCTTTTAGCTCTTCTGAATTGTTGGGTCTGGTGTATTGCATCTTCTTCTTCACAATACCCCATAGATTTTCTATGGGGTTAAGGTCAGGAGAGTTTGCTGGCCAATTAAGAACAGGGATACCATGGTCCTTCAACCAGGTACTGGTAGCTTTGGCACTGTGTGCAGGTGTTTTCTTAAAATATACTGTAAACATAACTATAGTTGTCCGGATTAGATGCTTTTTCAAGGGCAATTCTTTATCTCATTTGTTGAGATAAAGAACAGCAACAAAAAACACAGCCTTTTTATTTAATTGGTGAATTGCTGGTTCAATCATATCTGCAAATAATACATAAGACTCGATACCCCTGTCAAAAACCCAGAGGTCATGCAAAACATTGTCATAAAAAATATTCATATCTCCTAATTTATTTTTTGTCAAATCTCATTTATAGATATCAATATATTTTATTGGGATTTGATGCAACTGACCTTCACAAAGTGATGGACCAGTTTAAAGTGGAATAAAAAGAATAAACTTCTGAGTACTTTAAAATGTCTCTTTATCCGCCTTTACAGTGACACTACTGAATAAAATGCAGTGCAACCAATTCGCTTCATAAGTTAACCAATTATTACAGTTCTATGAAAGAACTCTATAGGCAAGACATGACGTTTTATAGACATTCATGCACGGTTAAATTGAAAAAAAAAAAAAAAAAACATTTTACATACATCATCTATAGTGCTCTTCAAACCATTATCCCAAGCTAACAAAATAATATATGGTAAAACTGCAAACTTATACAAGGTGGCCTTCCCAACTAAACTGACAGACGGTGCAAGGAGAGCACTTATCAGTGAAGCAGACAAGAGGCCCAGGGCAACTCTAGTGGGAGGACCAGAGATCAGCAGGGGTAAACTGTTGACACAAGTATTAGTTACATTACAAATCGCTGGCCTCTGTGGATGTTCGGCATGAAGAACCATTGAGAAAGAAAGGACAGTTCCCTTTGAATATTGCAACAGGAACAAAAACTTTTGATATGTGGATGGTAAAAGGGTAGGAGTAGGTAAACAACCTACAAGTACAGGAAAAGTTACATTAAATATGTAAAAGTATATTCGTATAAGATTATAACATGTGATAAGACATTATAAATCCGCTTATGTCCAGTTTAAATTTTATTGCCATACTTATAGTTATACTATATTTCATTATTTTGAATATTTTTATTTTTTGATCCCCGTTGCCTTGTAGCCAGCAGGTTCTGGGTTTGATTCTCAGCCCGAGGTCTTTCTGCATGGAGTTTGCGTGTTTCCTCTGTGCATGTGTGGGTTCTCTCCAGGTACTTCGGCTTCCTCTCACAGGCCAAAAACCTGACTGTAAGGTTAATTGACTTTTCTAAATTGTGCTTAGGTGTGAGTGTGTGTTTGTGTTTATGGTTTTGTGTCTTTGTTACCTCTTTGTTGCCCTGCGACAGACTGG